TCTCGGTCGGCAACATTCCAGAATCAAAGTAAAATCTGAGCCGAAGAAATGTCGAGCAGGGCAAATACGTAGCATAAGTAAATAACGAAATGAGTGAGAAGAACCGAACAAAATAAAATAAAACCGAAAGTATGCATAAATCTGTCAAACGAAACGGTGTCCAGCAGCGCAGTAGAGAAACAGCCGCAGACCTCGCTCGCCTCTCGGCTCGTTTGGTCGGCTTGAAATGCGACACTTTTGGCCTAAATTAGAGCAGCTTACAGGTAGACAGACAGGCGAGATTGCGTCAAGCGGCGCTCAGTCTGGACACGGTATTTTATTAGGCGAATGCATATATTACGGTAAAATATGCGCCTCTACTTTATGATTTACAAGCTAAGGGTTAAGCAAAGTGAAGAGGTGCAGCAATTCATTTGAGTTTGCATATTTCATGAAAACTAGGAAATAAACTAAATGGGATGATTTACAAGCCAGCATAGGAATTTCCGCTCAATATTGCATCAGCTAGGCGCCTACATTTATGACAGTCTAAGGGCTAATATCTGAGGAAGAATAGAGAGTGCATCAAAGGAGGCGCCAAGGGAAGAGAGTGCTCGAAATACTGCAGGAGACTGCACTAAAGAGGTGCCTAGCTGTCCTCAAGGAATCTATTCATATTCAAAAATTAAATATACATTAACCGCATCTGCATCTGTATAGATCAGAGCTATTTGCTTAGTTGCCTTTATAAGCAAGTGGAACAAATAGCATATTCACAGCATTTTTAGTCTGCAGCCAAATTTGTAACGTCTATTAGCTATGGCTTTTGCGTAAGAGCCGAAAGACGACAATCTTACTGATGATGACAATGATGATGACTGCGATGATGTTAATTATGATCATTGGGACCCATTTCCCACACACGCTCTGGGAGAAGACAATGGCTCTCGCTTCTCATTTTGATTACATTATTATTATGATATGATGCATTTTTCGTCTTTCGGTCGTCGTCTCGCTGCGCTTTTTGGTCGCAGCTTTTCACTGAAATTTATGGTTTCATTTTCACATCAATCGCCGAGCGTATCCCACTCGCACTCAACTCAACTCAACATCCCAGCTACTCGCATGTGTTACGATGATTTTCAACGGTTCGCAGTCAGTCCCGCTCACGCTTTCATTTGCGTTCGGAAAATGACCCACTTCCGGATTAACATGCTCCGGCGGGACAGACAACAACTTTTACTGTCACTACAGTACACTATTGTTGTTTCTAGTTGTTGCTTTGTTTTTGGGTGGGGATGCATATGAATACGCTAACATTTGCCATCAAGAGAGTCGAATGAAAACGATATCGGGTTTGTTACAATAGAGACGAGGAAACAGTTGAGAGGTTACGAAAAGAATTTCTAGCGGAAGAAAGCATAGGTAAAACTGCAGGAGAAAGAGATGAAGAACATTGGGAAAGAGATAGTGATAGAGAGAGGCAAAAGAAAATCTGACAAAGGCAAAGAGAGAGATAGAGATGGGCCGAGAAGGAAAGGCAGGGTGAAACAAGTACAATATATAAAGAAAAAGAAAGACAGACTCAGATAGAGAGAGAGTGAGAGAGAGAGAGAGAGAGTGAGAGAGAGGCAGACAGAGAAAGATATAAATGTAGAGATAAATAAATATAATATTAGTTACATACCAAGCAAGCTCTTCCAATAAATATATGTCTATAGTAGGAAAGGGTATCAAAACTTCGTTGTAGCCCGAGTTCAATCAATATTTTCATGCAGCAGAATCATACTCAATGGATCGCAACATCTCTTGGAGCAACAGCCCATAGAGCTAGAGCTTCAGTTAGGGCTAGGGCTAGGGCTACGGCTAGATAGCTGTATAGCTGGATAGCTAGGGATAGTTAATGATGTTGTCGCTTGGCTTGGGCCAGACCAAGCATCCGCTGTGTCCGGTGCATAATTGTTGCATGTTTGTTGCACTTAATTGTAATTTATTTGCCATGCCACAGAATGGAGATAAACACAAAGAACGGAAGCAAATATTTTCCGGTGGAAGCGCACAGGGAAATCTCCAACAACAACAATCAAACAATGAAAAAAGTGACAGACAGACAGAGCGAGAGGGAGCAGGAGGGGGAGGGGGAGGGAGAGAGAGCGCGAGCTTGCATTGATTGATTGCTGGTCTGCTCCACAGCCGAGACTATCTGTGGCTGCCAAAGAGTGGAGAGCATTTAACTGAATGCCAATTGGCTGTTAAAGAAGCTGTTTGCAAAATTGTTGCAGTTCGTTCGCTGCATTTTGTCGGCTTTTGCTTAAAGGCAAGCAAATACCAATGCGATCGATCGGCTCTGGGCCGGACAATCAATCAACAAAAGGCCCCAACAGAAGCCAAACCAAGAGCTAATTGCCAGCTAATACGCGAAAAATGCGAATGCGGCGATGCGCAAAGAACGCGTCCGACAAAAGGAAGCTGCACTTCCTATAATGGGCTGACTGCCCCACTGGCTGGGCCAACACCTGAAGCAGCAGCAGCAGCAGCAGCAGCCAATTGGGGGCATCAGTCATCAATCATCAATCAGCAGCCCCAGCTAGGGCAGGCCAGGCCAGGCCAAGAGCTGGACCTACGGCTGTCGTTCGTTGCGGGTGCGGCCTTAGTTTTCACACTCAGAGCAGGCCTAATTGAGTGGATGCTACAACAACAACAACAACAACTGCTATGACTACTACAAAAACTACTATAACTACTACTACCACTACACACACATACACATACATAGAGTAGACAACTCCGTTAATTAGCTAGCAGCATCCGAACCCTCCTCAAACACAAATCAAAACGGAAATTGTTTATTAAACAAATCTAGCACTGGGCTTTACTATACAATTACAATGTGTATATAGTATAGTGTGACTGATAATGATATTTTGATTGACTTTTGGTATTTCGAATGATGTGTGTATGCGTGTTATGAACACGAAAATTCCCTCTATAAATAAGCCAGATTAGATTACATAATGAACTGTTTACGCAGAGAAAGAGGCAGGAATTTAAACAAGTTTT